CCCGACCCGAGATGACCCGACTCAAAGTTGACCCGAAACGACCCGACCCGAAGTTGACCCGACCCGAAAATGACCCGACCTTTAACTTTTTTTATTAAATAATTATATAAGTTATAAAAAGATTATATTAGGAAATTATACATTAAAATAGACCCAACAACATTTTAAATGACTACATTGACTTTCATATAATAGCTAAAAAAGATAGTCAAAGTGAGATGTGTGAATAGTGCAAAATGTCAAATCATTAAGAGTAATTTGGGACGAAGGGAGTATAAGAATAATTCAAAGAAATTATTAAAACAATGACAATGATAATAAGAGTACGTTTTAAAACTAAGATCAATAAGAGAGTGAGGTATAACTCAATTAGTTAGAGCATCCCTCTTAGTTTTAGGAGATCCTGAAAGTGATTCTCAATTTAAAGTTCTAAACACACACACAAAAAAAAAAGGTTAATAAAAGTCAAACAATTACTATAATCCATGAAAAAAATAGCCTTAATAAATATAGTGAGTTTTTCGTCAAAAAATATAATAAATAAGTATATATACAGAGTTGAATTCAACCCAATGAATCACCCGAATATGACTCGACTAGAAGTTGACCCGACCCGAAGTTGACCCGGAAATTGGACCTGAAAATTGACCTGACCCGACCCAAACTTGACCCGACCCGAACTCGACCCGAAGTGTTGACCCGATACCCGACCCGATTATAAGTTGACCCGAAATGACCCGATCCGACCCGACCCGAAATGACCCGATCCGACCCGAAATGACCCGACCCATACCCGACCCGAATGACCCATTTGCTAGGTCTAGTTATTGACAGCTAGCCAAGTAGTAAATAAGCTTCTAGGAGAAGCCTGATTTTGGTACAAAACTCTATTCCAAGGTACTTTCTCAAAGTCCCCCTGCAAATACTTATACATCTCTTTAATAGAAAATACTCCATTTTTCACAAATTTATCCCACCCACCAGCAAAAACAATGATTGGGAACAAGCAAAGATTTTCCTTAGAGCCCAAGAGCTGTTAGCAGGACATCTAACAGTGAGAGTATCATTGTTCTTAATATAGTAAGCATTAATCCATCTTACCCAAAGCTTGTCTTTTTTGCAAGCAACAACCCATAAAAGCTTACAAATGGCAGCTTTGTTCTAGCTGACCATATCTTTGATGTTCCAACCATCAGCCACCCTAGGGAGACAAAGAGTATTCTAGGCAACAAGAGCTTTTTTCGAAGATTCAATACTGTCTGTCCAAAGAAACAATCTGCAGAATCTCTGAATTTCCTTAATGGCTTTCTTGGGGATAATAAAAATCTGGCACCAATATGACTGCAAGCTTAATAAAATAAAATCACCTTGACCAACTAAAGCCTGCCAACATAAGAGAGATTCTTTGAGGTCCAGCTTTTATCCCTAGCAATTACCCTGTCTATGAGAGGTTTACAATCAACATATGAGAGCTTGGTAGTAGCTAGGGGCATTCCCAGGTATCTAAAAGGAAATGTCCCAGTTGAAATTTGCAATTTTTAAATGATTTGCTGCTGATCATCCTAACTAATTCCACCAATGTAAATATTTCCCTTCTCAAGGTTGGCTTCTAATCTAGAGGCACAAGAAAATCTCTAAAAAGCTTGAAAGTGCATAGTATAGAAACAATATCAGCCCTACAGAACAATAAAAGATCATCTACAAACATGATGTCTGGAGGGTCCCCAGGTATATCCTGAGGTGAGCTATCCACTACATCTATATTTTCCTCTTCTGCAATCCCCATCACCAAAAGAGAACTAAAAGTATTAGTTGAACTAATAAGAACTCCTCTAGTTTTTGCTTTCTTTGTAGCAATTCTCCACCCTGCATCTGCTCCAGACTGATTGCCAATAATTGTCTGGTGCTCAGGAGTGTTCACATTATTGGCACTAGGTTGTTGCATCATCTGATCAGGCTGCTGGGTAAGCTTTTGGGTCTGAACCTTTTTAGGCACCCAAACCTGTTTCTAAGTTGATTTCATTAGAATTAAACAACCTTCTTAGGCATCTTAGTATAAGCAAAACAGTCATGTCTCGGCATTTGACATTGTTTACAGTAAGCTGGCTTCCAATCATAGACCACCTTTTGCTTGAATTCAACTCCATTCTCATCCTCAATCCAAACACGATCAGGGAGAGTAGTTGTAACATCCATCTCCACCAGAATGCGAGCAAAGGAAACCCTCTGCTGCCTAGTAGTGTAGTCATCAGCAAATAAGGGAACACCTAGGGTGCTAGCAATTCTACTTAGAGAATCAACACTCTAGCAATTTAGAGCAAGATTGGGTAACTTAATCCACAAAGGAATCACTTTCAAAATTTCCTCATAGAAGTTAAAGTCCGCAGACCATGGCTTGATAATCAGAGGTTTATTTAAGAAAGTGTAAGGTCCACCAGTCAGGATAATATCTCTATCCTCAATAGAGTTAAATTGAACAACACAGTATCCATCATCATGCAAGAAAACATTTGGCATTTGAACTTGATTCCAGATTGAGGTAATATACCTTTTCACCGCTGAGAGAATAGGAGTATCTCCAACAACATATAGGATAATCAAAGCAGGCCATTTCAGGTTCATAGCCTCAATCTCTGTTTTCTGCATTTGAGCAACCTTCTCCCCTTCCTTCATCACCGGAGCAACAAATTGCAGAGCTACACCCTTACTCGTCAATGGTGATCTCTGAAAGAAACTTGTCCAGGTGGTTGCTGGCTTGTTCATGTCAAGTCGGCGCTGAACTTGCTTCTCCTTGACCATTGTGTTCTCAGGTATAGCTTGTTGTTCCTCAACAACATTCCCCGTAGCATTCAAACAATGAGTTTCATCCTCAATCACATCATCAGAGGTATTCCCAGATTCAATTGAAGTTTCCCCCAAATTTCTAGATCTGGCTACTGTTCGATTGATTTCACTGTTCACTGAAGGAAAACCCAAAGCCCGATTCTGCTCCTCTATCCTATCATGATCTTCCCGAGTAATAAGCCCTGCACTTGGATGAATTAACGGAGATTGAATCATCTCTACCTGACCACCCACACCATCCGGAACCAGCATAGTTCGAAGATCAACATTACCACTAACTCCTGAAGGAACACCACCAGCAGTAGTTATTACAGCAGATCCATTTTTCTCCAATGTATTTTTCGAGGATGAGTTCTTCTTCTTCTTCACCATCTATGGAGGTCAATGCATGATAGTAATCGCCCTAAACATGCACCAGAGAACCTGGAGAGCTGTCCCTAATTCTTTAGCTTAGGTAAGTGTAATCTTGCTTTAATTTATATAATTGGTTTCTTTGTTTTGCTCAATTGTGTTCACCATTTAAGTGGAATGAAATACAAGCATGTAATGACAACTAATAAGAGTGTAATTATAACTAATAGATATTCTACTTTACCAAATTTTGTGTTTTGTAAGGCTTATTTTTTTATTTAACAAACCTCATTCCGTACCCCCATACCTAAATTCCTGGATTGACCACTGTTTTGGTTGATTTCACGGGTATTAAGAAAGTTAAATAAAACGAAGTAAAAGTGTATTGGAAAGATTAAAAACTAGAGAGTGAAATTATTAAAACTACATGAAAAAAACAAAATTTTATATGGGGAAGCGAATTTTGCACAAATATTGTTGTAAATTGGTGGGTATTTTAATGCTAATGAGTCGATCATTTTGGGACTAAAATTAGGGCAAAAGGGTTGAACTTTTAATAATTAGTTTTTTAGAATTTACAACTTTCTTAATTCGCGCGCAAAAAAAAAAAAAAAAAAAAAAAACTGTCTTAGAAAACGAAGGAAGTACTAATAAACCATTAGCATTGGCGCATAGCCATGACCAAGCCCAATTCCATAGGCCCAAACATTTAATCACTTATTGCACACACAAGTTAATAAACACATCAAAAGTTTTATTTCCTTTTCATGTAGGAGAACTTTCCAATTCTAAGTTTTTTTTTTTTTTTTTTTTTTTTTTTTTTTTTTGAAAGGCAGGATAGGGACTTAATTAGATGTTAAAGTAGAGTTTACATCATTTGGTTCACTGCTTCCAATTCTAAGTTTTACTCAATTTGAAGACTACTTACAAAATTTAGACCCTATTCAAATTTGTTTATGATGTAAATAAACCTACATTATTAACCAAACCCTTATATGTGCCCTAACTCGGATATTGTGCAGTGAAGTCAGCCAATCACCACTGAATAACATCACACGGTGTTGAGCCTCAATCCCACCCTGTTAAGTCGCTAGCTTCTGGCAAAATAGGATTTTGGGCCACCGTAGTTGAATGGAAATTAAATCATGCCCAATCCAAAGATTTTAGGTTTCTCGAACAACATTTGGGTTTTTATAGGAATTTTCGTATTTCCAAAACTAATTTGGAATAGCCCAAAAAACAACTTTACCGAAATTAATAGAAGCCATTTTTAGCCCACTAGGAAGGACAAGGGAGACAAGTCCACTAGCAATGCCCAAAGTGAGGTTTCATCCTAAATACTAAATAAAATTAGGAATACAAAGATTAATTTCCGAAATAAGGCACACTAAGCTATACACTTAATAAATCCCAATGCGGCTCATTGGTTCATTGACCTGATCCTGAATGCATATGAGGTAGCATAGTTCATAGTGTATTGTGGATTTCTGGACATGGGAATCGTTAAATTTCGAAACAATATGAAATGACTCTGGGTAACCCGAACAAAAAGGAGGAGAGTTTGGTCCACAAAATAGGCTTAGGCGCTTCCATGCTGAAACCAATTGACAATAGTAGGAGTTACTCCTCTACCTTGTAAAGTAGAACCACCTCTCCTCTTTCTCCAACATGAGACACTCACAAATGGAGTACAATGGGTTTCAACAGGAATTTGTCTTTTAACTTATTCGAATCAATTCAAACCCAACAACAATGGTAAAATTAATTCAAACTTATTTCGAATCAAATCATTGGTAAAATTAGTATGCATGAATACTACGTTGTACCAAGCTTTATTCAATTTCAACCACACTACAAACAACAATGAGATTTTTATTACACGTCGTAATAAACTTCGTACATTTCAACATAAAACTAGCATATGCAACAAAGTGCTTGGGACAAATTACAGGAGACACAAGGAACAATAAGTAATATATGAGCTTTTTATGCACTGCTTAAACGAGTAGAAATACGGTCTTTCACTTTCCTGAGCATGAATTCTCGATCACAAGACACTAGAGTTTTAATATCCACCGGATGTATATACTTCGAATTTATACCACTGTATGCAGATTCTCCTGAAAGTATATTCACGACTTCAGTAGGATGATAACCATCCCAGAATATGTAATTGTCGCGGCCTTCACATACTGTGTCGAATTCAACACACTGAAAATCATCCCTTACTTTGCAACAAGTAGTATTCGCTACAGCAGAACCTGATCAAAGCCCACAAATACATTAATAATCTCAAGAACAAAATATTATTGAATTATCTGAATGTTTCGAGTTTGTAGATTTCATGTGTACACGTATATCTGAGGCAATTAACATTTATGAAACAAAGTAGTACCTGTGTCGGTACTTGATGAAGCACCAATGTAAGTAAATTGTGCTCCGGGAAGCTCCATAGTAAGATCATCCACTAAATTAATGAGCTTTTCGTTGAAAATTTTGACAGCTTCATTGATTTTATCTACGCATAATGATCCTTCTGATGGGCCAAAGGTGTATATTTCTCCTAGAGTGCACCCAACTAGACCAACTCCAAACACCGCGATCTTCCTTGCTCCCAATAAATATAGAGACTGTATGTCCAAAATTACATATATATATCAATCAATTAGTCCATGTTTGTACATCGTACCAAAATACATATAGAGAACCAATAAGTTCCTTTATGATGTATCACTCAACAACATAATCACGTGAGATCTTATTTCATTTTATATGATATATACTGTATTTTCAAAATATCAAACTTTTATAAGTTTAATGATAGTGTTTTAATGACTAGTCAATTAGTGTATAGGGTGCGAGTAAGTAAACTTTTGTAATAAGAAACTACAAAGTGCAAAGAAGAGTAAAACACAATCCTGAGTTCCTAACCTTGAGTTGCAAACCATATTTACTGATTAGTGCTTGAGCATATTCTTCTGGGTAATAGATCGAGCTCGAACTGTAGTTCGAGTTAAAGTAGTTGTTGATGTAATCGTTGTTGCCTATGTTGACTGTGTACAGACATTTTCCTAGATTCCGCAACGCTGTAAAGCCATACCAAGGAATTTTTGCTACTGTCAATCCATGGTTTACTAGCTGTTGATCCATGCTTATTCTATCACCCTGAAGGAAAAAAAAAAAAAAAAAAGAATTTAGTTGAACCATTTACATCTAGTGACTTGGTGAGCTACATAGTACGAGCAATGTATGTAAATTACACGATGAATCAATTCTAAATCGTAAATTAGTTACCACTATGTCCCTTAATCAACTAATTAAGCTAATTGACAATCACAATATACTAAAATCTTAGCATCCATTAGTACTTACATTATTACATGACTCGAAGAGACCTAGCTAAGGTCTTATTGAAATATGCCTTAGCTTATACATTAATTAGTAGGAAAGTCCAAGATAGTAGGGCGAAGGACACTTTGTTAAAATGTTTGCTTCAAATTGTTAATGGTTGTTCACTCCTAAGGTTCACTTAAGTGATTACTTTGTGTTAATTTGTAGGTTTGCTGGGTTAATTTGTGTAAACCAATATGAGATCTTCTTCCTTAATTACTTTTAGTTTAGGTTTGCACTATTAGTGGATTTAGTGGCGGATGCAAGTGTAATAAAGTGGGGTCTTTTATTTGACCCCACTTGAACATGAAAAAAAAATAACTTATATAATTAATTTTTTTCCTTATAAAAATTGCTTATTTTTTTTAATCAAATGACCACATTAAAATATATCAAATGTATTTTGATCCCGTTGAATATTTTTTTTTAATCCACCACTGTACTACATATATGTGGTTATGTATTTTATTTTTCATTGAGTTGAATACATGACTGTAAAATTTGATTAAAAGTAAAATTAAATAAGATAAATTAAAATAATTTTAATGATTCGAGTTCAGGACTAAATTTCATTATTGAAGACGACTTCTAACAAAAAGTTGTTAAACCCATCACTTAACGTCATTCCTCATACCATATTTTGGTGAGGTTGAACGTCAGTTTCCTAGCTTTGTACTCAATATCACAAAAACAAAGGATGAAAGTGGAAATGAAAAAGATGTAAAAAAGAGCTAGCTAGTAGATGATGGTATCATTTGATTCATCTTATGTTTAAAGTATAATGCAATTCTTTCGTATTCTACCTTCAGATTACAACCCACAAGTTGTACCAAGTAGGAAATATCATCACATTCTTAATAATAATAATCCTTCTATTCTTGTATGTTATACTCAATTACAGATTTATAGTAAAAGCTCAATTTAAGAAAGTACACTTTTTTTTTAAAAAAAAAAAAAAAAAACAACTCACCAGTTTCGTGCAGAGTTCTAGAAAAAAATATACAAGTTGTAAAAGTAGTGTAATTTGTGGGATAATTAAATATTATAATTTGAATTTTTGAGATGAAAGATATAATAAAACATGTATGTAGATGTCATGATGTGTTCGGTCTACAAAAAAAAATTGAAAAAAATTAAAAAATTAAAAAAATTATGATGAAAGGTAAATAATTTAAATTATCGACCGATGATAGTAAAAAAGGTTAAAGAAATAATTAAAATTAGTAGAATGTTTATGATAAGGGATGCGTGTTGCTTAAAAAACAAAGGGGTATTTAAAACGTGAATGCATTGATATGATACATCAGATAAAGTAAGAAATAGAATGCTGCAAGAACATAGGTGAAAGTAAGAATTGAAGATCGTAGATAAAGTAAGTAAAAATGAAATAAAGTAAAGTGAGTTAAAAAAAAAAAGTGATAACAAAGAAAAAAAAAAAGGAGGATTTATTTTTTCTACTAAGGCCACTTTACCTCACCTTAAAAGAAATTAATAAACACATCCATAATTTAAAAATAAATTCAATTCAGCTAAAGTTTTTTCAGTTTAGTACTCCGTAAAAATTAGTAAGTCTAAAGAAGAAATATAATAGAAAATCAGTAAAAATAATTTCAGTTTAGCAAAATTAAGTTAAAGATAACGAGACCTAAGTCCATATTCTCTGTTATAACATGATGATATTGTAAAAATACCGACACCATATAGAATAATGAAAATCTTAATATTTAAACATTGAGATTAAGTTAACCTAATTATCACTTATTATTTATTTCAGTTATTTCACTATATACTCTTGAGTTTTTTTGTTTATTCACCATATACGCATGAAATTTTTCAAATTCATCATATACCCTAACTAAATTGTTACAAAAATTTACCATATAGCCCTAATGAAAATAAGATGATTAGAATTTTGTTAATGATATATCGAAACCATCTTAGATCTCTCCCCCTCATCCCCAAAACCACTCTTCACCTTTCTCCAGGCCTTGAAACCACTCTAAATCTTAATAACCATATCTGTATGATTGATTTTGAGGATGAGAAAAGAAAATTTAGGGTGGTTTGGGGGTGGGAATATAGGAATGTGGGTTGTTTCGGAAATAGGGGAATATATTTAGGGTGATTTCAGTTCATAATTAACACTAATGATTTGCAAAATTAATAATAATTGGTCATCAAGGGTATATGGTGTATTTTTGTGAAAACTCAGGGATAAATGATCAGTTTAAAAAAGTTTATGGGTATATGATGAATAAACATAAACTCAGGGGCATACGGTGAAAAAGTTGTATTTATTTTTGCTTTTCCGGTACTAAAATCAGAACTTAAGTTCACATTTTGACAAGTTTATCCTTCAAAAGATAATTGGTACGTACAAATATTACTGAATTAAATAAGTATTATTATTATTATTTTTTTTTTTGAATAGAATTGAATAAGTATTATTCTGTAAACGACTTTGTTTTTTTTCACTTTTTTCACGCGCAAATCTAGTTCAATGCTTAGTATACTTGAAACATACATCAGTCAATTCATGTTAGGCCAACAGAATATTGAAGAAGATATTCTTCAAGTGACGACAATTAACTTGTGGGCTTATCTTTGATGAGAACATGAGGTTAGAAAATGATACTTTAACAATCATACAAACTTCATTTCGTGCTATCGTAACATTATCTAGCTACGATTTTCATATATTTCTCTTGGTTATCCGGAAAGTCAATACGATAGCCATTTACAAGTAAAATTTTTCAGTACTGTTTTAAACAAAATTTCACTATTTATGATAAAATTTTTTACTAAAATCCTGATGAGAAGAGTTTTGTAATAATATGTAATCTTCGTTAGTCTGATTTAACTGTGCAAAACTCCCCTAGTAATACAGAGTATGAAGTATATAAAAGAGAATCCTAAAATTAAAGACCTTTTTTTTTTCTTGACTAGCCTTAAAAATCAACTTTAGTATTATTTAATTAATAAACACGTCCAAAATTTTGTAGTTCTGCTTACATATATAAATAAGTAATTAAAAAATAGAAAATGAAAGTAATATGGAGTATTTAATTTGTTTACATCTATATTCTTAGAACTTGTATAGTTCTTTACATGTAATAAGGTAATTAGGGAGTACGTGAAAACGTGAGTAGGAAAATTTTGATTATTAATCATCCAACAATGTAAGAGCATAAGTCTTTCCAAAAAAATGTTAGAGCATAAGTATCTAACTGCATAAGTTCCTTTACATTTACGTATAAGTTGCTGTAGTGTAGACTATTGTAATAGATATTGTATATAAATAAGTTGCGGTAGGCCAAATGAGATCAAGTGTAAAAATCAATGCCATACATATATCGAATAAATTGCGTAAAGAATTTACAGTAACACAAAGTGTAATGAACCAAAATTAAGAGAGATAGTTTCTTTCAAAAAAAAAATTAAGAGAGATAGTTGCTTACTAGATGTTGTCCAGTTTCAGAGCGAATTCCGGCCGCTCCAGATGCATAGTTCACACCCTTTAGTATTTGTCGTCCCTTAGCTGTGCTGTATGGTGGAATATACTCGTCGAATCCCAAAAGTTCAGCTGCAACCAACATATACATATACATATATAAATCTTTGTTGCATGGTGATGTGAAACCTATTAGATTTGTATTATTAAATTTTAAATATATCATGTTTGTATAAGGTTATGGCCTTATTTGGCAATTGGCTGTTGATTGATTATTATTTCTCTTGGTTAATTTGTCCAACTGTTTGTATTGGCTTTTTATGTTGACTTATAATAAATATGTATGATAAAATTGTTTGTTGTCTATTTAATACTTTAATATTTCATACAAAAATGCCAAAAGCCAACAACCAAAAAACCCAAATAACCAAACATATATATATATATTATTATTGTTGTTTGAACACAACCAAAAGCTATTAAAATGTTGTTTATCAAACAAGCCCTATCAATATGCGAGATTGTTCATACTAATTAAGATTTTTAATTTCTAGAAAAGTTTATTTTAAAGTGCAAGTGATCAATGAATTAAAAAAAAAAGTCAAACATTTGTACTTAGTAAAGTAGTAGTGCGTCACTTGACCGATACCCTTATTAACTGTAGAGTATGATGTAAAAAACCTTTCCAAATACATTATCATTGTATACCTCCACTAATATGGGAGACAAAGTATGTATTAGAAGATTATATAGTAATAGCGTTAACAGATTAGTAACTAATGCATGAACATAACAATAAGCCATACTTACTGATTCTATCAACAAAGTTTCGGCCATTAGAGAACCTTCCCGTGGCTACACCCCCCGGAAAATCGATACCATAAGGCGGGTAATTGGCTTTGGCCTTGGTATTAAGGTCATTGTTGTTGCCAGGGTCGGACAAAGAGTCTCCAAATACGAAGTAACAAGGGACCTGTGGTTCGCAACGAACGAATGTGGTAGAAGAAATCATGAGGAGTAGCGCAAGAACTACTACTGCTCCTCTCGTCATTGTGGCTAGTTACTGAAAGAAAATTCAGGCAAGATAGTGATGGAAGTTAGAGAATATATAAAGCACTATATATAGACTTATGGAGTTGTATTATAGAGTACGTTGCTATATTTTATAGTCACAATGTAAGGTTCTGAATTATTTGTTATTTGTCTTTGTATAAAATGATATGGATGTATGGACAGCAACAACTTATTCTTTACATGTGACTTTTTTCAGTTTAATCAGCTTACAAGTTAGTATCATGAAAAAGTATAACCTCTTCTACTGTGGAAAATAACTATTAACTTAATAATCATGTCTATTTAAATTAATTGAGTAATTAATACTCTCTACGTCCCATGAAATAGTACTTGTAATTGGTTTGTAATGTTTGTCGGCTACACAGGGCCTGTTCTCATTGACTGAACTCAGCTGAACTGAACTGAACTATGCTGAGCTGAAATGAAATGAATATTTTATAAGAGAAGGAAATTAGGAGTTGAACTAAACTGAATTGAGCATAACTGAATTGAACTAAACTGAATTTCAACGTATGACAACAGGCCCTAAGTTCTAAAGCTCCTAATGTCATACTTCCTTTGTTTTACAATAATTGCATCAATTGGCTTATTATAATATTCTCATATAAACTTTTACCATAATTTACCATTTACGCATATATAAATAAATTTCACTGTTTTAGTGGTTGTTGAATTAATTCTATTCCAATATATGTATTTTCAAATTTTATTATATTTTATTTATTTAATTATTAACAAAATATTATTAAACACATAAAGTTTTAAATGTGCCAGGTCGCACCGTACGGCGAGACACAATATAATATTTTTTTTAATTCTTCTTCTCTCTCTTCTCTATCTCTTCTTTCTCTCTCCTCTTTTAATTTCTTCTTCTCCAATTAGCCACCCATATCACCCTTTTCACCAAGCTATCTCCTCTTTCTCTCTCCTCCTTTCTCCAATAAAGCTAAGGACAGCATACTTGCAAAACAAACCACCTGCAATTACAAAGGAAGAACGCATGTCCTCCACCAACCCGTTGTCGTACTCCGTGAGCTCCTCGTACTCCGTCGTCAGAAAACAACTTCAAGGTTTTTAAGGCCAATTTCGGCCATAAAAACTCTAGATCAAGAGTTTTCATGGTCGACTTTGGCGTTTTTAGCCATATTTAAAGTGAATTTCGAAGTCATTGTTAATTTTAAAGTTATTTGTTTGATTTAAATTAATTTTTTTTTTGTTTTAACGATTTGGTTGTGGGTTCGGTTGGATTTATGTTTGTTTGTGGGTTTGGTGTATGGTGGCGGTAGTGGTAGTGGTGGCGGCATGGCGTATTGGAGGTGGGGCTACGTTTTGGGGGTGGGGCTAATGGCGTTTTGGGGGTGGTGGTGGGTCAAGGGTTACTAGGTCGGGGGTTACTAGATGGGTAGGTCGAGGGTTACTTAAGGGGTTACTAGATAGGTTACTTAAGCGAGATTGCTTGAAGGGGTTACTAGGGGTTACTTGGGGGGGTTAGTTGGGAAGTTATTTAAGTGATGTTACTTGAGGGGTTAGTAGAGGGTTACTAGAGTGGTTACTAAGTCGGAGGGATTACTAGAGAGGTTACTTAAGGGGTTAATTACTTGGTCCGGTCAGAGGTAATTAAGTCGGAAGGGTTACTTAAGGGGTTACTAGGTCCAGTCAGGGGTTACTTGGTTGGAAGGGTTACTAGGTTTGTGGGGTTACTAGGTTGGTGGGGTTACTTTGTCATTTGTTGATTTGGCATTCTGCCATATGGTGCGGCTAGCCGTATAGAAACGCACGGTATTAAAGATATTTAATAGTCAAATAACTATATTTAACGGATGCATAAAGGACTTTTGAAAATTTGTTGGTTCAAGCAACTTGCACCCAATGCACACTGCTTGTTCATTAGGCCCAGATATTTCTTATTTATTCAAGCAGTTTCTTCTGTGATTCTATTATAACAGAATCAGCTATTCTATTTTGTCTATTACTAACTCCTTGTTAAGGGATGTATTTGTATTATCTATATATAGGGATGTAATAAGAATTCTAAAATTTATTCATTAATACAACGAATTCTCTCTCAAATATTCTATTATGAATTTCATTGTCTTCTATTTTCTCATTCAAAACAGTGTCTTCTATTTTCTCATTCAAAATCCAAAGAAGAAAGGTTTTGATTACAACATTCAACATGTAGAGTCAATTGATCATTCCATACTGTTGACGTGGGCCTTTATTTAGGGCCCAATACTTTATTGTCTTTGAGGTCTAGTGACAACCCCTTTTCTAGTTTAAGGGCTTTTATTTTGACTAGTTTCTTCTGGTTAAAAAACTTAGGTTATACTTTTGAAATTATTCTTTTCCTTGGCTTATATAAGAAAATTAATTAGGAATTTTTTACAATTAACACCTACAATTGTTATTGTTTTAGTAATTACCATATACAATTTTTTTTTTTAATTTTACCACCAATTATATTGTAAAACATCAAAGTTTCCCGCCTACTTGGTTCTGAACTGAAGTGTGATATTATGTAGGGTCCATTAACTACCTTATCACCTTATTTCCCTCCTTTTTTTTCCTATCTTTCTCAATTTCTCATTCCCCTATATTAAACTCCTTTAAAAATCAGGAAAAAACTTTAAATTGAATTATATATTCATGTTAATTATTTCACGAATTGAAGTTTTTTCCCAATTTTGAGAGAAGTACAAGACATGGGAATGAGAAATCGATAGAGAAAGAAAGAAAATGAGGAAAAAGGTTGTTAGTGGGCCCCACATAACGTCACATTTGAGTTGAGGGGGAGGTTTGATGTTTTAAACACAGTTGGTGGTAAAAAAAAAAATGTAGGTGGTAATTGCTAAAACATTAACAATTATAGGTGTTAATTATCAAATTTTCCAAATAATTATTAGGAGATAGTAAACTCACAACATATACTACGTATGTCATATACTAGAATATGTTATTCTTCAAAATTATTTTTCGTATATAAGTCAAGCAAAAAGGAAAACTATTCCTTGTTGAAGGAATTTTAACATACATATTCAACATTTGATAATAATGCCTTGTAGAGTAGTAGTTATAAGATTTCAAACAAAAATTAACGTTGACGAAAGAATTTTACCTGATGATTAATCCAATTGTTAAATCCATATCTGGACTGGATCAGCTTGTCAAATTAGTAGAATAACGTATATGCAAGTAAATCTGTCACTGTTTACTTGCGTATACAATCCCCATTTTTGTCTATGATATGCCTAGTTCTGTAACACACAAAGAAGAGGAATTAATGCAAGTAAACAATTGATGTCATTAAAAAATAGTTAGGCATCCTAACAAAATATGTATCAATAATATAATTTAACTAATATGGATAAACTACTTATAGATTGTTCATCCTAACAAATTGCTGGCATATTCATCATTTTCATTCCAATATAATTTCTGTATAGTTTACTAAACATGGAAAATATATGATGAAGGGCCTGTTCACTTTAACTTATTTTCAGTTTAGTTCAGCTTCAATCAGTTCAGTTCAGTTCAGCTACTAATTTCCTTCTCTCATAAAATATTCATTTCAACTCTATTTAGTTCAGTTCATTTCAGTCAGTTCAGCTCCAATAAGTTAAGTTCAGCACAGTTCAGTTCAGCTCACTTCAGTAAATGTGAACAAACCCGAAATCACTAGTCCACTATATATAAAATAAAAAGGAGGAAATGCAGTAATCGTTAGAATTATTATAAAGATATTGATGACTATAACTAACTAGTCTAAATTTGGCCTTAGATCTTAAATTAGTAACAAGATAGAAATTTGACCAAAACTCTAAACACAGTCAATTAAGCGGAGGTACTAAACTCACAATATATATAGGTCATAAACTTTTTATATGTGGCCAGTCATTACTAGGTTAATTTGTTAGTGGTATAGGGGTTACTCTGTTAGTATAATATGAGTTACTCCGTACTTTATTAATTGGACTCTTTGTGATAAACTACCTAATAAAACCTAAATTTTGTGAGAAACTACCTAATAAAAACAAATGTTGTAAGAAACCACCTAATAAAAGATAAAATGTTGTAAGATATTTGACTGAATTTTCGTCGTTGATTAATTTTATGACATTGATCCACCTTATAACACCCTCAAAACCACTGCGAGGGTTGGTTTTGAAGGTGGTAATTAAGGTTATTCGAGGGGTGGTTGGAGGATAATCCGAGTTGGTGAGAGTAGATTAATGCGTCGGGGTGGTGATTTTTAAGGTTAGAGGTGGTGGTTTTGGGGTTGAAAGGTGGTTCAGGTATGGTGGAGGTGATTTCAAGCAAGCTGTGTTAGTTTTGGGAATGAAAGCGGTGGTTTCGCGAAAGTTATGAGGTCGGTTAACAGTGGAAATTCGGTATATGTAGTATTTTACAATAGTTTATTTTTCTTAGGTAGTTTTTTACAATATTTTATCTTTGTTAGGTAGTTTGTTACAAGGACCCCCCCCCCAAAAAAAAAAAAAAGTACTCCGTAGTTTGTTACAAATTTTTTTTTTAATTAAGTAGTTTCTCACAAAATTTGTTTTTTATTAGGTAGTTTTTGACAAAAAGTCCTTATTAATTTAATGTTATAGAGACTACGCTATTTTTTTTAGGCGGTCACACGATGTGGCCAACCTCACGTGGCACACATGATGAAACAAATGGGAAAATACAAGTTAATCTGCCAGATAAACGAATTTTTGTTAATCTGATGATATTTTTGTAAATATATTGAAAAAGCAGGGTCATTTATTCAGTACTTTTGGTGAGCTGTCCAATAACTGTTTGGTTTTACCGTTTGGTGAGGAAATTACACATGTACCCCTCAACTAGTACATGAAAAGACGCATATACCCCTCCACTGTTACTTGAAAATACAATTATACCCCTAGATAAACAAAATTTGTTTATTTAGAGAATAGACTGGGTATCCCTCGAAACAAATATATGTATATACAGTATAATGGATGGAAGTTGTCCTTATTAATCCCTAACTAATTATCATAACTAGTATCCCGCTAGATTACAAGAAAATTTGTGTAAGATTGT